ATTTTTTCAAACTAAAAAAACTGGGGACTGCACATTTCGGAGCAACTACTAATTCACAAATTGAACAGACAAAATGAAATTTTAAAATGCATTTGGGTTTCAAATAGAGTCAAATGGCATAATGAGCTTTTGTAAAAATTTGTACAAATGAAATAAATATGTGTGTATTCCAAGTCCTGCTTTCTCGGCCATCTAGTTTCTTTGTTGTGATACACATATTGTTTGATTGTTCGACAGTTTTCTTCTTTTTTGTTTTTTTTTTTTGTTTGTTTGTTTGATTTTAATTGTTCAGCAGTTGTACGCCAAACCATAGTAGAAGAAGAAGTAGAGCTTTGTACTGTGATATATTTCAATATTTACTTTGTTGGTAAACAAATTAAAGAGTGTAAACAAAAGGAAAACCGAAATAGAGTAGCAACACGTTACAATAACAAGAATAGGATGGGTGGGATAATATGATTGGTGTAAAGCAAGCGAAAAATTATAATACAAATGTATATAGTATTAGAAAAGTACATACAACGTATTTTACATAGATAAGCTTTGATAGTAAATAGTAGATTACAATATATAGTGATAATAAAAAATTTAAAAATTAATAAATATAAGTGTCTTAATTGCTTTTTTTACTAAAAACTGTTAAGTGACAAAAATAAATTTTTCAAAACTTCAGTTTTATAAATTTTGTCTTTTTTCCAAGACATTAAATTCCTTTATAAAGTCAGCACCTGCGTATACGCAACTTTTGGCAGTCTCAAAGGCAAGTGCTCATACACACATATTACTCATACGCAGTGTAGTACAAACAGTTGTGATAAACAAGGATTATGACAATTGGGTCTACGAAAAATGAAAGGACCCGGAAAGAAGTGTAAGGCATATTTTTGGCCGCTACAACAACAACAACAAATTGACAACAAGTTGAATTAAGAGTGCAAGCAGCACAAATTGATATAAAAAGTAAGGTTGCGCACTACTGAAATTTACATGTCACATTGAAAAACAATAAAAACTGTTAACTTCAGCTGCAATAAAATTTAATTTACCCTTCAGTAGTGCATTTTCTTAGCATTGAAGGTTATAGAAAGATCTTAATCTACATTTTGTTCGGTCAGTTTATATGGCAGCCATAAGCTATACTTTTTGAGAGTATGAATACGGTCTAATGATGTGGGGTGAAATTACTAAGCACAAGTTTATATTAAAGAAATTTATAAAAATATATAAATCATTTTGAAATACTATATATTGAATTTGAAAAGCATGCAAAATTTATTTGTGTGTTGTGAAAGTGTCACAAATTAGCAGCGCATGAATATGATGAAAATGCGTCAACAGCGCAGTGATAAGTGTTTGTGGTGAATTTGCACATTTACAAAAAAAAAAAAATTGAAGAAATTAATAAAAAAAAAAATTTACGAAAAATATTATATGACTTTAAGTTACCAACAAATAATGAGTATTAAAAATATTATTTATAAGAGAGTTAAAATTTTAGGTAGATTGTATGTCTTGCATACCATATGATCGAATTTGAGCAGGGCTGACAAAAAACTATTTTCAAAATTTTAATTAACGCCTTCAAAATAGCCTACTGAACCAATAAAAGCATGCCAATGCTTAATATAATTTTCTACACTTTTGTTGTAAGCCTTTAGGAAAATTTTTTTATCGGATTTTAAATTGTTCAGCGTCAAATTTGATCAAATGGCACTTTTAAATATGCGTAAAACTAATTTTAAATATTTGAGTAATTAGACAAATATAAAAAAAGTATAAATTATTTAATAATTTAAAACTGTATATACTGTATTTACCATCACGTAAGTCGCCAGCCTCAATTTCAGACACCTCATTCGCCAACGAATCGAGYCCTTCATTCTCCGAACGCGCTTTAGCGCCCGCAGTGCCGCCGACCGCATCAGGTGCACCTTTTGTGCGCCAAGCGTAACGTGAAAAATTATTTAAATTAGCGCTGGGATCACTTAGACGACGTTGATGACGATATGTGCAATAGTCGTCATTTTCCTCCTCCCAATCATCCCACATGTCGGTAGCGCAAAAGCTATAACAAGCGAAATAAGTGTGAAATGAAAATTTTAATTAACACACATTTCACCACAACATACCCCGGTTCACTGGTGGGCGTCTCCACGCCCGAACCTTTGGGTTTTGTAACAGCCATTTCGGCGTGTCCCTTGCCCTGTGGTCCCTTCATGCGCACAAATTCGCAACGTGTTTGCACACCGGCGCCGCTGCTAAACAGACCGAAGGACATGCGTTGCGCCACTTTCGAACTCAGGCTAGATTGCTACAAATGACAAGCATACGTACAAACGTTTAAGAAAGTGAAAATACATTATTAGGCGACTAAACAGCATACCCTCGCATCGTAGACCTTTTTGAGCGCATCATAGCGTATTGAGCCCAGAAAAATGACACCTTGCACCGAACCATCTTTGTCATTGGCAACCAATTCCACGCACACCATTTCACCATCGCGCACCAAGATGTCGCTGAATACCTGCAAAGTGTCGCCTGTTTGTGTAAGTAGTAAAAACAAAAGTRTATTTTAAAACATTTTACCTCATCGAAATTGTCCACCATAAAACAAATATGCGGATATGTTATCTCCTCGCCTTCACCTTTGGTATCCATTTTTCGGCGACTAGGACTTGCATATACGCGCTGAGAGTGACGTCTCAACACTTGCAATTCCTTTGGCGATGTGCGTGTGCAAATAGCTAATGTGAGTGTGTAGTCGAATTGATGTATAACCATATTTAAATAGACCGTCTCCTCCCAGTCGACGTCCGGATCGCCGATTGGAAGTTTACGCGAGTCCTTACGAAAAACATCAACCTCTGTCTGTAAATATGAGAGCATGGTTTTAATACAATTAGTGTATTTGGGTAGGAAATGCTTTACCTCATATTTTGGCATATGTCGGGAAGAACTTTTCACGTGTTTTTTACGTACGAAAAAGAGCAAATCATCGGAATCTATGCTGTGCACTGGTTCGGTTTGAAATAAGAAGTGTCGTACAAATAAATCTGTCCAATATGTAGTGCCCTGGAGCACAACAAACCCGCTATCTGTAAAATGTAAACAAATTTACTTAATTTAGTATGAAATTTTAAAAAATATAAATAAGTAGGAATTGCAATGTTTTTTTTTTAGTTTTGAATTGCATATATATACRTATTTATAAATAAATTTGCGTTGAAAATACACATTTAAAATTAAAAAAATGTTAAAATGTACTCGTATAAAAATAATATTGTGATTCACTGCAGCAGAYATGATAAAAACGCCGGTTGCACTTACAATAAAAACACTCCAACCACCCTTAACATTTGACGATAAAAATAAAGCGAACATGTAAACATGCTCTTATGCATACATGTAATGCAGGTACATACGTACATATATGTACATAAATATATACATTTTATATAATGTCAAATCTGCACAGCCATTACTATTTCTTCATAAAGCTAATTATATGCACGTACGCATGTGTAGTTAATCTGCTAGGAGCAGGCACAGTTTGAATACAATAACAACAAAGCGCTTCATGACGTTTTCACAGGATAAAGAAATATTTGATAAATCGATAATGAACAAATGTACATAATTTTTCATGGTGTATGTAAATTTAAAAACATAAAATATGATTTATAGATTTTTGTTCATTAAACAGCAGCTGCAGAAGATTGCAATTACATAGTAATTACAAAAATACTAACCATCTTTGAGCAATTGTCGCATTTCTTTGGTGCGTTGAAAATTTATATCCTCTAGCAACTGTTGTAATGGTGTCTGTGGTTTTAATAAAATCCCTGCAGCGCTAGCTAATGACATCGTGTATCGTTGTTTCAGTACTTCACTCACAAATTACACGTCCGTTATGATGAAATCTAAAGGGGATTTTTCACTTCTTTGTTTAAAATTACTCACGTAGCAGCGTAGTGTATGTTTTCAGTTTTTCCACTTATAAAATTTGCATAAACGTGTTATAAAATAGACTTTAAAAAATTGTATTTGCACATTATCAAAGAGGAACGCACTGAATGTTAAAAGAAAAACTTCCAAATTTTTAAAAAGTTACAAAATTCGCAGAATAAATAGCAGGCAAAAATCGAAAATCTGTCGCCGTTCAACTAAACCGAGCTGTCTGGCACTTTTGTTGCAACAAACGTTTCGCATCTACTTTTTGACCTCACGAACACACAGCCCAACAGCGAATCAGTCAACAATTCTAAAATATATATATGTTCACTGTGTGCCACCAATACCACGATTTGCACATGCGATTTCGCTACACCTCGGCGCAGTATATACACATGCCAGCTGGTTTTGCAAAATCTTCGCGTAAAGCGTCTGGAATTGCTGCTGAATGGTTTCTTTGTATTTGGCAAATACATTGGCTTGCGTTCTTTCAACCATTTATCGCGCGATGATAATACTCTAATTCATACTCAATTTTATATATGATTGGTATACATTCTCTTCACCTTCTACTGCGCAAATACAAAATATTTAGGTGATATCAAAATAAGTACATAATCAACCAAGCAAAACAAAATTTGTTTTGTAAACAAAGAATTCAGTAGAGGGCAGCTGATTATGACAGTGAGCACAAGGGTTGCCGACCGCATTCTATCGAATGCGAACTATGCGCGAATAGTATATGGTGACATCTATGGATGAATAGTAAACAATAAAGATTTTACAAATACAAATATTTTATTATTTAAAATATCAAAAAATTTTAATTATATATTGATATTATTAATATAATTATGTACAGTGATACGTTATATTTACCGCAATAATATTTATGTACATTTCGAACATTAATTTTTATGCAACCCTGTCTGGAAGTGCTGCACTACTACCAACAAGTCAAATGCCATCTGATAGTTTCCGTTTTACCGCCTTCAACAGTCAGCAGCAAAGCTTTTGAAAGTGAAATAATTAAAAATTTTTGTTAATAGTGCTTTAAAGAGTTGATAAATATATTGAAATGATAATCGGTCACGTACTTAGAAATTACATTGATATTGTGTTCGCCATGTTATTTGCGTGTTAAGTGTGTGAATGATAAAGTGTGTTGCGGGCGTGGCGATTCTTTTTAATTAATTTCAAACCAACATTGAATTCGGACAATTCCGTTTCCCACATTTACAGTCGTATATATGTGTATGTATATTTTTAAATTGTAACTATAGTTATAAAACTAAAGTGTTCATGAATGACTGCTTTCAAAGCGGCACGAACACTTACTTGCTCCGGTTGATGTTTTACAAAATAATTTAAGCTTTCTGTTTACAGTATGGAATATATTCATTTCTTGCATATGTTCTATTGACGGACGTGGATAGCATTACCAGGTAAGTTAAGCTGGCTATCCACATATAACTTCAATTTCTATTCTTTACAAGTTCAGTGTACCAGTCGGTGTTAGAATTCTGTGTAAATTTTGGGGAAAGCGTATTTTTCATTAACAATTATATATTTTAATACATATTTAGTCATGAATGCATTTTTGAAGGCACAAAAATTAATTTTCGCCCGTTTCGAATTATACATTTACATTGCGATTTGATCGCCTCTCATTTCCTTCTCTAATTTTCCCATAAAGCGACACCATGGCATACCAAAAATATAAATGAAGAACTGTGAAAATTAAATAAAAATTATGTTCATGTTAAAGAGTGCGTTTGAGAAGTAACTTACTCAAAACTATTAAACTTATCCAAGAAAATTTAGCGTCGCGAAGATAAAATAGCAATGTTAACCCTATATTGAATAGGGTCTCAATAGTCCACGGCAGCAATAAATTATGTTTTTTCTGCAATATAGCATATTTAATATAAATCCAAAATTTTTGAAAATKTATTTTATTGTAACTGTATCTAACGGGTGTTTTTTCTAAACATGTGGATTTCAATTTAAATTTAATTTAACTATGATTAATTTTTTTAATAAAAAAAATTAAAAATAATGCATAATT